ATCAGTAAAGTTTTTTGTTGCATTCCCTATCATCTTTTCATAATAGGGCAACTTTAAAATACTTACAAACAAAATCATTATTTTTTTTTTAGTTAAGGGTGATTGCACTTGAGCAACAATATCCCACCACCTTTAGACATACTTCTTGAAAGACTCAGATGCTTTTTTCTCCATTCATTGTAATGAAAAGCGATCAAAAGTCATATCAATGATGTGGCAATATTGGTTAATGAAGGACTAAGTCAAATCTTTCCATGACTTAATACGGGTTCTATCCAACTGAACATACCATCTTGTAACAGACCCGGTTAAACTACTTAAAACACATTTATTGGTAATTTCTTATTGTTAGCATGTGCTACTATTTTATGACAGCACATTATGATTTGAGTAATGGGGCATTTGGTATCATCATACTTTTTAAAATTTGGTACCCTGAATTTTAGAGGAATCATGATATCTGGAACTAGACAAAGGTTGGCAGCATCTATAGATCCATAGAAATCAATGCCTTTTATAGCCTGTAATCTTTCTTCAACGTACTCATAACTTGATTGGTCTTAGAGTCTTCTAAAGACACAGTCGTATACAGTTTCACTTCTTCTTTAATCTCATCCATTTTGGGAAATTGGATTAGCTTATCTTCTTTTCAATGAATATAAGATTGGTATAGCTCTAAACATTCCTTTGATTGAAATTTGGGAACATGGTTTGTTGTTGATGAAAGCTTAGATGGCTCGAGTCTGATGTAGAGCAAAACCTAGAGGATACAATGGCTCATTATCTTCATGTGAAATGTCTTTTTCCATTGTCTTTCCTCTATTTCCCTTTTCTAGAGCTTTTAGGATTCTACTCAATTTTTCTTCAAGTATCTCCTGAGCTTTTTTTATTCTTTTAAGTCGGTCTATATTGTCTTGCTTCATTTTTGTGGCTTTAGCTCAAGTATAATACTAGTGTTGAACTATCCTTGAACCTTGATTTCTCACAATTATGGTGCAAATTTAGAGTGATGTTTATGGATCTATTAGTTTATGCATGAGAATGAATGCAATGATGCATGAATGCATGCATATACAATAAAAAAGATTAGTAAGCATAATCTGTAATCTGCATGTATGTTTATGAATATGCATAAAAAGAAAAAAAAATAAAAGAAGACAAGAAAATCGATTAGTCACCTTAAAATAAAGAATAAACACAATAAAACAAGTAAAATAACAACAAACCCTATATTTGGGTTGACTATAAAAGGTGGAAGGATATGGCTCTATCTATGGTTAGGCTCTTAAAGTTAATTATATGTGATTTGGATAGTCTCTAAAAAGTTCTCAAACTGTTCCATACATTGTGGTCCATCATAGACTAGTAAAGTACCCTAATCCTCGCCCATCATAGGATACAAGGAAAAAAAGTCCAATCGAGTGAAAGTGTTTTGCAAGTCCATACGAAAACATAAAAACTTACAAAGGCATAGGTACTTCACTCCCTCCTAAAAGTAGAGCTCGAGTAGAGGGCTTATGTTATACATATGCAAATAAATGACAGGAATATATACAATAAAATAGATAATCAAGCAAATATAAGCAATGAATAAAAAGAAAGACAAATGATTAATTAAGTAAGTCTACATAATGAAAAGGAAAATAAAATAACTAATAAAGCAAGTATAAGTAATGAAAAGGAATAAAATAATTTCAGATTTATTAAGTAAGGCTTTGATAATAAGAAGTCATTTACTAGCTTAACTTTTAATTTTTCCAACGGAGTCGCCAAACTATCATAACGTATAAATCTATAGACCTACCGCTAGACATGGATAAGATGAAGTCGTCACAAATCTTTTTTGTTTAGGTGTGATTAGTTACCTGATATAAATTATGATCCACGAAACCAGATGTTAGGTTCGAGAGTATGGTTACGCATGGGGAAGGTTATAGCACCCTCATGATGCCCATCCAAATGATGATACCAGTTTTACTTCCAATTATGCAAGCCTTGAACATGTTTGTAAGTTATCAAAATATTTAATATTAAAAATTAATCTTAAAATTATCTCAGTAGTTTGGTAGCAATTTAAGATAACTCTCTCATATCAAGAGTATTCATAGAGACTAGTATCACATTTTGAAGAGGCTCCATCTTCAGATTAATTATAATATTTTATTCAAAAAAATTTGTAAAGTCTCCCAATAGTTTGGTAAGACTTACTTTGAAGTAGATTTCCTAATAGTTTGATGAGATTTTATTACCAAAAGATTTTTAAAAATTTTTAAGAATTTCATTAAGTCTCTTAATAATTTAGTAAGACTTAATTTATAAAACAATCATTCAATAGTTTAGAGGATAAAAATTATTATTATTATTATTATTATTATTATTATTATTATTATTATTATTATTTTGAAAACTGATTTATGAAATTTCTCAATAGTTTGGTGGATTCCATTTTAAAAATTAAATTTATGAAAATTATTCAATAGTTTGGTAGAATTCATGAATTTATTTTGTAAAAATTTTTATTTTTATTTTTATTGTAAATAAGTTAAATGAAACTCATAAAGAAAAGAAAAAAAATCACAATAATAAGTAATGTATTTTTTTAATTTAAAATAAAAAATAATAAGAGTAAATAAAAATAAACATAATAACATTAATAAAATAAGAAAAATAAAGTCAAAACAAAAAATGGAGTGAAAAATAAGAAAGAATACTTGCAATCGGGTCATGGTAAAACTCACAAATTTAGAAGCCTCAAATTTCAAGCTTTTCTTCAGAAGTGTTTGAATATGCCTCTCTTTCTACAATGGTTATTCTTTTGGCTTCTTTTTAACTAATTTTCAGAAACTGATGAATAAATCCCAAAAGCTAATAGAAAATTTCTAGAAACCCAACAAATTATCTAGAAAGCTAAACCCATAAATCCCTAGAATGCAAAACCTTAAAAAAATTTAAACCCAAAAATATCAATCCCAATTCTAGAAAATCTAAACAAACCAAACCTAAAACTTAAAACCTTTTGGCTTCTAAACAAATTTCTCTCTTTTTCTTTCAAGAGTTTCTGCATAATTTTCCCCCCTATTTGCTTTGATCACAGATTTATATAGGAATTCATGCTCAATCAATTTCTCTTAAATCTATGATTTTATTTTATTTCCTTTTTAATGAGAATTGATTCTAAAATCAAATCCCAAAATCTCTCCCTATCAATTTAATGTGAATTGATTATAGAATTAAATCCCAACAATCTCTCAACATCATTTTTAATGCCAATTGATTCTAGAATTAAATCTTAAAAATCTCTTAATAACGGTTAAAACCTAATTCCAAAAAAATATTCTTGAAAAAAATGGGGTATTTAGAAATACTATCGTGAAAAGATCTTGGAGATAGATTATTTTTCATTTTACTTGATGAATATTATGTTATTTCAATCAAAGAGCAAGTTGTTATTGCCTTGCATTATGTGAATTCTAAAGGCCATGTTATTGAACATTTTTTGGGTATAATACATGTCAGTGATACAACTGCTTTGTCACTTAAAGTAGCTATTGAAACATTATTCGCTAAGCATAATTTGAGTATGTCAAGGATTTGTGGGCAAGGTTATGATGGAGCAAGCAACATGCAAGGTGAATTCAATGGATTAAAAACTCTGATCATGAAAGATAATGCATCTACTTATTATATTAATTGTTTTGCTCATCAACTTCAATTGACACTTATAGCTGTGGCAAAGAATCATGTTCAAATTGCATTACTTTTCAACATTATGACAAATGTAGTGAATATTGTTGGGACTTCCTGTAAACGAAAAGATGTTCTTCAAGAAAAACAAATTGATAAAGTTGTTGAGGCATTACAAGTTGGTGAACTTTCTACAGAAAGAGGTTTAAACCAATAAATAAGTCTTCAACAAGCTAGGGATACATGATGAGGTTCATTTTATAGGACTTTGATAAATTTGATTCTTATGTTTACTTTCATTATTAATGTGCTTGAAATTGTTGTAGAGGATGAGAATAGCTTGAAGCAAAGAGGTGAAGCTTCTGGCTTATTAGATTTGACTCAATCTTTTAACTTTGCTTTCAACTTGCATTTGATGAAAAATGTCTTAAGGATTACAAAAGAATTGTCTTTGGCATTACAAATGCGAGATTAAAATATTGTAAATGCGATGGCATTAGTAAAAGTAGCGAAGCAACAACTATAAATGATGAGAAATGATGGATGTGAATCTTTGCATAAAGATGTTTCTTTATTTTGTAAGAAAAACAATATTGGCATCCTAAATATGGATGATATATTTGTAACTCGTGGAAGACCTCGATGCAATGCTCTAACAATGATAAATTTATATTATTACGGATTGAGTTATTTTATACAATAATTGATATAAAACTTTAAGAGCTCAATAATCATTTTAATAAGGTGAATATAGAGTTATTTCTTTATGTAGCTTCTTTAAATCCTTGTGATTCTTTTATAGCTTTTGATAAAGGAAAGTTGATTCGTCTTACTCAATTTTATCCGACTGAATTTTTTAATGTTGAGCTACTAGTTCTTGATAATCAACTTGAAATTTATATTGTTAATTTAAGATCTCATGATGAGTTCACAAATTTAAAAAATATTAGTGACATTTTCATAAAACTTCTTGGGACAAAAAAACATTTTATGTATACATTAGTATACTTATAAAATTAACTTTGATATTACCAATTTCTATTCTACAGTTGAAAGAGTTTTTTTTATTATAAAAATTGTGAAAAACTGTTTACGCAACCAAATAAAAGATTGTTAAATGAATGATTGTTTGATTTATATATATATATATATATATATATAGAAAAAGATATATTTTGTAATATTAATAATAAAAAAATTTTGTAATACTTTCAAAATATGAAGTCATAAAAAACAATTATAATATGTTATTTTTATATATACTAAAATAGTATTTTTATGCATCTTAGTTATTATATGTATTTGCTCCCACTCAATATAAATCATGAACCCGTCCGTGCTTCCCTAACATAAATTATTTTATTATTTTAAATTGATCATTCTTCACGTATTTGTAAATGATTAACTGGAATATATATCCTTTATGTCGTATGTATGACAAGTGTAACGTTATCATTTGCCCAGTAACAATAAGGCAAAGTTATGTACTCTTCAGAGTCATGTCTCCGGTCCTCCTCGATCAAGATTCAACTGTAGGATTATTGCGAGCCTCTACCTCACTTTATCATTAAAATTCTGGAGCAAGCCACACACAACTTCATCTTAATTACTCCTTGTTACATATTAACAACATATCAAGAAACTTCTTCCTCTTCATAAGCAAGAAGAACATCTTTTCGTAAAAGTAGGCAGAACCCAATGATCTACTTGGAATTTTCATGATACACTTTCATCCATAATTAAATACCATGTAATCATTTTGACCAAGGAAGAACCGTATATAATCTCATTGAAAATAAGTAATATCCTTCCTCGCTACGTGCTTACCAACACATATTCAACTCAATTCCTCAAAGCTCTAGCCACTCAGTCCAGCTCCTCGTGCAATCATTGCTGCCTCAATTCAGCCAAGCTGATCTTTCAGAATTTTCCTTAGGTACTCTAGCTGCTCAAATTCCCCTTCAAGTTCCTCCCACTAAAACAGAGGGAAAAATATATATATAAGATTACTATGTTATCACCTTTTGCATCAAAGAAATACTGACATTAATTACAATTTACAGGTAACTAAAAAGCGCTTCAAGTTAAAAGCTTGTATTAAAATTAAAGACAACAATCCACCTCTTGATACGACAATGATACAACTTTCCAACCAGAAGCAGCAATAAGACGGCATTTCAAGATGGTATGCCCTAAAGGTGTTCCTGTTCAGAGGCAGAAGAAGATCAATTGGATGTATGAAGTTATTAAATTTATTCAAGCTTCAGCAAAATCAAGGTACTACTAATGTTATATAAGCAGAAAATACCCACCACTATTCCTTGAGAAATGTGTTGGTCCATCAATCTCCAAAGCAACCTTTTTATCAATCACAACAGCATCCACAGTATACCCACCCACAGAGTATTCTCTAACCCAATCAAGGCCAGTACTAACAAGAAGGCGACCAACCTCCTTCTGAAAAGATGAAGTAGTCTTTTGATTAAACCTCTTAGTTTTTCCAGCATGAATAATTTTCTCCTCAAGGTCGGCCCTGAGAGATACATGAAGATGTGGGTACTCAAGCTTTAAGCACTGATTCACCAGAAGAACCTGAGAAGCAAACATAACATCCCCTCTATACTGTTCTGAAATTCTTTGCTCCTCAAAACTGCTCAAAGTTTTCCATGCATGAGAAAAGAAAATTCGATCCACCTGTCCAAAAACAGCATAGGACCAAGCTATATTACCAAGCTGATATCTGCTTAAGGTGAGCACAGGAGGATCTGAAACTCCTCCAAATGTAATATCTCTACTGTTTTCTACACCGCTCTCTTCATCACAGTTAGAGGTTTCATGACTTAAGCAACATTTAAATTGGTTGGCATGCTTGAAAACCGTATCCATAGCTTGAAGCAAGGTGTCTGCAGGCTCATATAGAGAAGCAAAAGCCCACAACAGCTGAGTGAGCTCCTGTTCTTGAAAAGTGTGAATTATGACTGACGCCCTCTTTGCTAACTCTACAAAAAGAGCAGGGGCAGTATGCCGCATTGTAGCAAAGGCACCAGCAATATTAGCAACATTCTGAGAATTGAACTCCTTAACCTTGGTCAAGGCCACCTCTGCAACCCTATCCATTTCTGACAAAAAAAGTAGGTCCCCTCCAATCTTTGACAGTGCCCACGAAATATTTGAAATACCTTGAGCGGAGCATTCTGGAAGGACTGTCATTGCAATACCTATAAGCATCGACATTTCTCTTTGTCGAGCAAATGCCAACCTGCGAGTACCGGTCATTGATACTTTCTCCATATTCTTAGCAATTCTATGAAGTGCTGTGGCAATATTTAAAGGGGAAAGAGGTGAAGGGCTCAGACCTTTCCCAACAGCCATAATCATCTCGGCAGTAATCTCCAAGACTTCTTCTGCAGTATGAGCTTGTATTATAGCTTTGTTCAAATTAACTTCTTTCTTATGATCAGATGGCCCAGAGAATTGGGCTAGCTTCTGAACAAACTCTTCCATTGCCTTTTCCTTCTTCTCTAAAAACATCCCACCAGCCATCATACTTACCTTCTCTCGAAGTTGATGAATACTATCATCAATTTTGTTATCAAAATTCTCTGAGCTAACATCTTCCCCAAAATCAAAATCATAATCTTCTTCAATCTTGTTGCTTTCTTTATTAAGCTTATCTTTGTTTGTGAATCTTTTCTTGTTCTCTTTTTTCTTCTTTTTGGCAGTTATTAAATCCTCAACTTCTAGAGTTAGTCCCCTAGCTTTAATAGATTTGAGTGCCATTTTCCTAGCCTTTAAACACCAATCCATCCCCTCAGTATCCTCGAGCAATCTAGATTTCTCTTGCTTTTTCCTCTTCTTGGGTGCTTCACAACCAAATGGGTCAAGCTCTCCAACAAACTCCAATTCCCATTCTTCCAGTTGATCATCATTAACAGCATTCCTAGCACTAATACTAGTATGTTTACCCAAACTTGCACAGTTTCTTCTTGGAAACTCTAGCTTTTGTTTCGGAATTCGAAACCCAGCTCTTAATTTTACTAATGGAAGATCATGAATTTGTTTGGGAATGAAAATGAAGGGCTTTAAGTAGGTTTGGATAGGGAATGGCTTTACCAAAAATTCCATGGCTTCCTTTCTCTATTTATCACAAAGCAACAAGTGAAAAAACAAAACAAGAATGAGAAAGACTACGATACCAAATACTAACGTTCATGAAGAGAAATGAGGAATCAACAACCCATAATCCAGGAGAAAAAAAGAGAAGAATGCAACATACCCACTTAAGAAAGCTCACTGCTGGGGGTGTTCATTATTAAAACTAAAATCAAATCACCCGAAATTTGATTTTCCATTTTCGTTAACCAAACGAATTATTAAAGAATTAACCTTTAACTGACAGAAATATTTGGGTTAGTTTCATTTTCTTCTGTAAGCATTATTTATATAAAAGAAGTTAACACTGTAGAATGAATTTGGTCACTTTTTGTACACTTACATTACAAGAGTGTTGAACTTGAACCCACTCAAATGCCAAGACTTATGCTAAAAAGATCTACAAAGAAAAAGCAAACAAATTAGAAATACACAACAGGATCAATTATTTAATTTGTAGAAATTAGAAAGACCCACTTAAGATTGAACTTTCTAAAGTCTAAAATCATCAAAAAAAGAGAACGAAAAAAATGGAAGCTTACAACGTGCAGGCTGACGAGGTTGTCCTCGCGAAGTGCTGGCTGTGGTTATGTTGGACCAGGGATGTGGCGCAGCTCATGTAGTGTGGAAGAGAGATGATGAGCGAATAAGTCGCTTGGGGAGTGAAGATTGACGGAATTTGATGAAGAAAAAAGCTTTCACCCAAGCGCCAACACAGCCCATGGCCACATTAGAGAATAGATAAGGGTAAGGGATGATTAATGAAAGCGGTGGGACACGTGGGTGGGGCAGAGAAGGGAAAAAAAAAACAAAAACTTAAACAAAAGTATGCAAAAGAAAAAATCATCATCTGAAAAAACGAATAAAGAATGACCCCCGGCAATTGCTAGGGTTTTAATCAAGCCAAATTGAATTAATATTAATATATTAACATGATCGAATTAGACTTCAATTCAAAAATTAAAAATTAAATTTTTTTAATTTGATTGAATTTTAATTTTTAAATTTGAATTTAATTAATTAAATTCAAATTATAATACAAATTTTAAATTTTATTAAAATGCTAGATAACAAAGTTCAATCCGATAAAAAATTAAAAAATAATAATTTAACGGATGATTCATAAGAACAACATAAGATTGGAATTTGGACCAATTAATCTTTTAGATCAGCCAACATCACAACTGTTGCAGATTATATTGTATCTTGGTATTTTGTTCTAGAGGCTTGGGCAGCCTTTAGAACTACGATGTCTGCATCCACTCCTTTGGCAATTTGAACCAAGCGTTAGCAGTACAAGTTGACAACTTTTAAATGGCACTAATTATTCAGGTCAAATTATGTTAGATATTTTTGTATTATGTTAAATTTTAAATTTAAATTCATATATTATAATTTATATAAATTTATTTTTTATTTTCTTTTAATTTGATATATCAATTCGATTATTAACTCTAATAAAATTTTTTTTTTAAATACTAATATGATTGTTGACTTGATTATATGAATGTTGATCTTGTTAATTTGTCATTGACAATGTCCAAATTTGGATGAAAAAATTAGTTATCAAATTATACAAATGATCTTTAAACTTTAATCTTTCTAATATAATTAGTAAAAATATCATCTTTGTACAAGTTGAATTTAGTAATATTAGTTCAATTATTAATAAAAATCATATTTTTTAAATTTTAAAAAAATTAGATTTTAAGTTTTTAAAATATTAATATTTTGAGTATTTTATAATTTTTCATATTTTTAAATATTTAAATTTATATTTAAATTTTTTTAATTTTTAAAGAATTCTATTATTTAATTATTTTAAAATCAGATATTATTTTTTAAAAAATCAAATTTTCAATTTTTAGAAATATTCTAGATTTTATAAAAATATTAAATATTTTTTCAATATTTTTAAAATTTTTAAAAAGTTTATTTTAAAAATTTTTTGTATTTGAAAATTTTTAACATTTTATTTAATCAAAATATTTAATTTTATTGTTTTAATTTTTTTGAATTTTTATAAAATTTTCTTTATTTTTAAATTTGTATGTTTTAGACAATTTTATATTTTTATATATTTTTAAAAACAGTTTGTAAATTAAAAAAAATTTCACATGTTTTTTATATTATTCAAGTGAAAAATAAATTAAAATTAGAAATTCTTCTTGTTTCACCATTACTTTATTTTATTCCAGATTTTTATGCGCTTCCACACCAAATGTACAAAACAAAATAAATTCTAAATATTTGTGTCTTTTTTATAATTTAATTATTTTTTATTTAAACATTAAAAAATCTAAAAAATACAAAATACAAAATATAGAAAATTTTATAAAAATTCTAACAAATTAAAAACAAAAAATAAATATTCTAAGTAAATAAAAATGTTAAAATTTGAAAAAATATAAAAATTTACAAAACGATGAATTTTATTTAAAAATTTAAAGTATTGAAAAATAAATTTACTATTTTTAAAATAAAAAAGTCTAAAAGTGTCAAAATATTAAAATTTTTAAGTAACAACAATTTTGAATTTAAAATTTTTTTAAAAATATGATTTTAAAAAATTAAAATTTTTAAAAATATTAAATATAATTTTTTATAAATATGAAAATTCTTTAAAATTTTGAAATATTAATTTTTTTAAAAAAGTAAAATCTATTTTTAAAAAAGTAAAAAAAATGACATTTTAGTAATTAGACCAATATTGTGAAATTTAACTTATAGGAGAATGATATTTTTGTAAATTATATTAGAGAGATTAAACTTTAAATTTTGTACGAGTACAAAACCATTTGCATAATTTAGCCAATGATTTCATCTATGCAAGTTACCATGTTAACAAAGTCATGCCCATTTCTTCAAATCAACGATTATGTCAATATTTTTAACGATAAAAATTTAATAAAATTTAATGATTACACTAAAATTATTAAACTAAAATAGTATGATTAACTTTATATGCATTATAACATGTGTACTAAATTTCTAATTTGACATAGTACAAAGACCTTTAGGATAATTTGATCATTATTTCATGATCAAGTTGTAAGTTTACGTTTAATGTAGCCTTTTGTAATACATGGACTAAATTTCTAATTTTGACATTATAAAAAGACCTTTAGCATAATTTAATCATTAGTTCATGATCGAGTTGTAAATTTATAGTTAATATAGCCTTTTGTAGCCATCTTTGCTAAACAAAAATCTTCTCACTCATAAATCCATCGAATTTTATCTAGGGTTAATAATCAATTCTAAGAAACGAAAGGTGGAAAATTGAAATGTAAGATCTCAATTAATTTCATCTTAGCTGATTCCTCATGCACATAAACACTAATGTCAAGAGCTAATAGAAAATATAGCAAAGAGAAGAAAATCCCAACACTATCCATGCTTCGTTCTAAACAAAGAATGACCCAAATCGCAAGGTAAGGTAAAAGGTATAAACAAAAAATAAACAAAATAAAATGCAGCACGAAACAGGACATGACAGAGACAAAGGATTTAAATTACGATTATGATTGTATTTTTTGTTGTGTTATATTTATTATGATTACTAATATAATAAAATTTATCACAATTATTACAATCATCCCCATCATAATTTTTTTTTAATTTTACACAACTTATTATAAATATATTAATTATAATTATAAACATAAAAATTTTTATTTTAAAATTTTTAAAATAATTTATGATACATCATTTCTTTTATTTACTTGATAAAAATTGCTCATAATTTTTTTAAGATTATAATAAAATTACATAAAATGAACAATAAATTTTGCTTCATCAAAAATATGTTTGTCGTTAGTGAACATTTAGTATGAAATTAATAAAAATTCCTTTTAAATTAAAAAATTCACTCCAAATTAAAAAAAATTTTGACCCTAAAACAATAAAATTTTCAATTCGTTCTAGTTAAATCAAAGTTCCCTTGAATAAAAATTTCATAATAAAACAATAAATCCCCCCGGCCCCACTAGATCTTTTAGTCCCCACCCGATCACATGTTTCAGCCATCCCTTTTGTACTCTACATCACCTAGCCCTTCAGTCTTTCAAAACGTCAACTTTTTTCTCTCTTCTCACTTTTCTACTCTCTTTTCACTTCTATTCTCTCATTTATATTGTCCTGTCTTGCATATCTTTTCAGGCCCTAACCCCTTAATAAACAAATTCAAGTTGACACAAAGTTGAAGCGTCTCCCCTCCCCTGAACAGCAGTTCGACCCTAAGCCAAGCACCCAGCGGCTAGCAAGCCAAATAGCCTACCAGCCACCACCTTTTTAACTTTAGAGCTTTGAAATAGATGGTCAGTCGATTCAAGAGTGAAATGTTCAAGAGAAACAAAAGCAACAAAAAAAATGATAATTTTAAGTTGTTTTACCTTCAAAATTAAATCAAATTTCAAATAAATTTTTTTGTTCTGTTGCTTGATGTTGATAATTGAGGCTGAAATTCTAAATTTGGGTATTTGAATTGAATTAAAGTTTTTCCTTTTTAGCTTTTGGGTTTTGAGTTAATTTTGAATAATAAAAATAAATAAATTTTTTAACATATTTGGATTGAAAACGGAATAATGAGAATAATGGATCATTATTCTCGTTATTCTCTGTTATGTGGTTTTAGAAAGGTCACAATGTATCGCTATGATTGAGATTGAAATTTTCTCGTGCTTTTTTCATAATAATAATTGCACATGGTGGCGTTACCACAAATAGTGACTATTTTATTGCTACACCATTGCTCTTTGAAACATTGGGCAAGGGTAAAGGCTTTGAGGTTGAACCTCAGCAGTAACAAACCCTGATCACCTTACACCATCTCTGGTCAAATTGTTGGGGTTTGTAGTGATGAAGGCTAAGAGTATGGGTTGCTCAAGAAGATTGAAGGATGGGATTATAGTGATTAAGGCTGGGAGTAAGGGTTGCTAAAATAGACTTGATAAAGGCTAATTGAAACTAGGAAGAAAGGAAAGAGAGATGAAAGAGGTGTCAGCCGTGTATACCACATAATTTCCACATAACATATAGATGCAAAAATTAACATCCATATTTCCACAATTTTCACATGTGGCAGTTTGCAATATACGTAATCTATTATTCTACAAACCAAGAGCAAACCATATGGTTACAAAATCTATTGAGATTAGGATGTAATCAAGTCGAATTGAATTGATACAGCGAAAAGTTCAAATTTAATTCAAAACTCGATTCAAACTCAATTGAGTTTTAATTTTTTAATTCGAGTTTAACTCAAGATAAAAATTAAACTATTTGAATTTGCTCGGTTGGCTTGTTTACTGAATAAAAAAAAAGAGTTTGATTCCCATACTCGACTTTAAGCTTAATTATTTGTATTCGAATTCAACTGAAATCAATATATATATAAGTAAAATAATACTTTTTAATTAAAATAATAAATATATATCAAAGTATAACAGTTCGATTAAAATTGTGAGCTTTTAAGTCGAGCATTAGGATGCTCAAATTCTACTGGCTTGATAAGTTAAGCTGCTTGAGCTCGAGTTCAACTTAACAATAATTGAGCCAAATTTAAATTTTATCCAAGCTAAACAAGAATAACTTGTGAATACTGGTGTATCATTTATTTATGGCCATACTTGGACTATTAATTTGTTTCAACTAATATTAATTCCCTTCCTTTCTTACCTTAACTGATATACTCTTAGACAAAACCCCTTCCCTTTTTAAAGAAATCTCCTACCCGAACCTCCCATTGCACTCTCCCTTTTCGAGTTAAAAAATCTTTTTGGTTTTGGTTGAAACTTAGTTGCTGTGAGATTTTGAAAAATGGAATGACAATGATGATGGTGGCTTAGGTTTAGTGATGGTAGGATGATTCACAATAGTGGTTTATTTTGATGGAGGTTGAGTAGAGGCTATGGTGGTTTAAGGTTCTAATTGACC